AGGAGCTCTCTAGATGACTCTTCCTGCATTTTTGTGATATTCTGCTAAGAGAAAGTTCCTCTTTCCCCTTCTTGAGCCTTTTTATGTCACAAACTGTGCACACAAAGGCATGTGTGTAACAGCTCACACTGGTTGCTCAGCAAAGGATGTAGAGTAGGATCAGTTACAAAACAAAGGTTCCACTCATGATGGTGGTTACAACTACAAATCTCAGTGCAAAATAATGGTAATTATTAAAAGAAAGATATTCTTAAAACTGTCTCTGTTGTTAAAGGCTAATTTATTTTTCCACATTATAATAAGATGAATACCAGAGAAGTCTTCGCTCACAGCTTAACTGGAACCACACTTTTCATAATGAAGTATACAGCCCACAAAAAATTTGTATTCCAAGTGTGTGCACAGGCCCTGTTGTTCCAGACTGTACCTCTTTTCCTGAAGTGTGCAGTGACAAGCTCTTCAGTGTGCTTATTGCTGTACAACACTGTAACCAACTGATGTTTATTATTGGCTGTGCATTGGGTCAGTGCAGAGTTTCACCACAACAGGGTACATTCTGGTAGGGCTGTGCCTGAAGGGCACTATCCCTTATGGAGCAGCTTAGTGGGGATAAGAGCCTGCATCTTAATAAGGATGTGCTGAGCATCCACCTCAGCCTCAGGGGAGAGCAGGTAAAGTGGCAAGTCCTGTCCTTGTAGTCTCCAAACACAACTACTCTTTATTTGTACCTGGCCTTTTTCCAAGCCTCTGTGGTGGAGGAAATCCTCCTCATGTCCTGCCTGACTTCTTATGGCTGCACTAAGGCCAACTGCAGTTACTGGTATGTGTATTATGCAGAATAATTCCATCCATGTAACATAATAAATACATGTGTATTATACCTGTTATGTTCATAGAGCAAAGATGCAGCCATAAAAATATGCACCAGACTGCTCTGTACAAAGAAGACAGATGGTATTTATTCTATATTAATTAATATTGCATGCAGAATTTCCTCCTTCTTTAAATATCTTGAACATCCTTTTTCAAAATTTAAATGTACACATATAGATTTTTTGTTTGTTTGTTTTGACAGCTGACTGTTGTATTTTATCTCCATTCAGCATAGGTGGCCTTGGTTAGTTCTTACAAGTGCTATCTGGTGAATCTTCAGTCTACCTGTCATTATTACAGTTCTCCTTTCTACTTAAATCAAGTTAATCAATTGCTTTAATTAATTTAAAGATGGAAAGCAAACAACAGTGCAAACACTCCTGAAATCTGGAGAGTTAATAAATTAGGTTTGACAGGATTTGTGTCTGCAGGTTTTGGCTTCACTGGCCATCACCTTATTTAATAGTTTGTTTTTTCTCAGTCACATGTTTCAGAATAACATTACAGATAAGGACAAAATACAGCCACTGCTGAAATTCTATTACTCAGTGTGACTTGCTCACAAATGCTCCTGGAGACATGTGGTCTTTGCCTGCCATCGTAGTTTTACACTGGAACATTTCTGCCTTACAACTAGAGCCACACATAGACATGGCTAAAAACAAAATAGCAATGGCACTATCATGGATATTCCAACCCCATTGCTTTAAGGGATATTTTAAAGGAAAGTAGGCCAAAAACTTGACCTATTTTAAAAGACATGGCAATCTGTTCTTTTAAAAAATCTTTCACACTTCACTGAGTCCTTCTCTGTCTCCTATACCATGAAAAATATTGTACAGTAACAAGACTCAGAATTATTCTCTCTACTGTTACCCATGCAAACAGATATTGCAAACAAATCTGCAGTTTAACAAATTAATTTTTCTCCATCAATGATCTTGAAAAAGAAACCATCTTAAAAATTACCAAATGCATACATTGAATTAATTAGGTGTAACTAACTAAAACTGCTACATTACTGCACCTTCTCCATAGTGCTAGTTGCAATGGATCCATTTGGCAACCAGGAATTCTTAGGATCCGTCAAGGATTTTGCTTCTAGGACTTCAATGTTTTGAATTTGAAAAGCAGAAGCAGTGAGCCATATTTCTCAGTTATTTTGCTGTTTGAAATCTGGCTGTGAAACTCTGTTTACTTTGTGTTGGACTCCTGCCAGAGGAGGCCTGGTTTTAGCAGATGGTCGTGGAGCGGAGGCCAGACGTTTCCTGCTGCGTCCTGACGAGGCACTGATAGCAGCGCTCCCAGGCACAGCACCGATGCCTTCAGCAGACACAAGGATGGAGAGCAGGCGCTGCTGACAGAGAGGTTGTGGAGAGTCCATGAATCAGCCCCTGGGGCTAAAGACTTTGTGGAAAAGAGGGTCCTGAAAAGAGGGTGCTCAGAGGTGGTGGAGCTGTCAGACAGAAGATGAGCAGGGGGAGAGCTGGAGTTTTGACCAAGAGGAACTGAAGTGTAAAAACCAGATGGGCATAAAGCAGTACTGAGGAGTGTGATTGCTTTGATCTTTGACAGGACACTTCTCTGTCTTGTCAAGAAGAGACTTGAAAGAAGAAGGTCCCAATGGAAGGCTTTACTGTGGTGTGGGTTTACCTGTCTGCTCTACAGTCACTGTGTGCAGGGAGCATTTTCCTTTCCCCCAGTTCTGGGGTGAAGGGGGACAACTTCTCTCAGAACAAATATCCTTAATATGTCCTCAGGCTGGGTTTGATCTTTTAAGATGCTGCCTGCTCTCAAGATGGGGAATGAAAAGGCAATGCCATAATCACAAGCACTTGAGTATCACTGGATTGCTGCCTTGGCAATTTGCAGCAAAAAGAGAAAATGCAAACAAATTTCTCAGGAGGCTGTATGGCTTGGAAATCTTCCAGAAATCCTTCAGGCATCAGTAAGATTAAGGACATCCATAGTTTATTTGGGGATTCAGATCTTGAACCATGTAGCTAAAATTCATGGTTCTTATGCCATATGGCTCTGTGTTTGGGGATTTGGTGCTCTCCCATTCCCTGCTATCAGATACCTGGAGCCACTGCACTGTGTGTCAGGCTAATTTGGGTAATGATTTTGTGCAAGTGGCGAGGCTCCTGTGAACTGCTGACCCCTTCCTTGCACTCCAGGCAATCTGCAGGTAGGCAATGTTGGATTTTGAATGCTCGTGCCTTTCCAGTTTAGTTCAGATCTCAATAGGAAAGAAATCCCAGGAAGACTGAGGAGTTGATTGCTTTGTTACATGCCACTTGCATGTATTTCTCCCTCCTTGCTATTATTCACTCAGAATCTCCCCAAAACTGAGTCTCTGGGTCAGCATAAGAGACAGCTAACAAGATCAGGCATTTGCATAGGGGTCTGACTGAAAATATTTTTCCTTGAGCTTCTACCTGCAGAGCATCAACATTCAATAACCTCAAAAATGGGGAAAAGGTTTAAAACCTCATTCAGCCAAGTACCAAATTTTGGTATTACTTTCAGTGAGATCCCTTCCTTCCTACTTCCTACTTAACAGTCTTGATAAGACAGGACAGTCTGAATCACCAGTTTTGTCACCCCACTCGTCATCTTCTGTGTAGTTTTCTCAGGCTGTAGTAGTTGCTGCCTTTTTCTACCTTACTGACTTCTTCCAACTTGAGGACAAGAATGCAGTATCTAGGAACACCACACTCCATTTTTAACAGCTCAGCAGCTGAGCCCATTTGACATTGCACTGAGACAAAGATTCATTGCACTCTACAGAGAAGACAGTCTACAGAAATTAAGTTTCAAAGAATCTGTATAATCAAAGAACGTGGATAGACCTTCATCATAACTTATGGAATGCAAGTGATCTATGTCTTACCCAAGATGCAAAATGCCACATCCTCCTCTGACCAGCCATGGAGCCATAGCTGGGCTGGGAGCCTGGGCCTTGCTGTCTTGCACCTCCTGATCATCCATACCCTCCCAGAGGAGGGGCTCATAGCCTGTTCATTAGCACCCTAAAGTTGCCATGCAGAGGTCTGAAACCTGTTTCCATCACTAGGCAGAGTGGTGGTTAATGCTCTTCCTTTGCTGGAGAAGAACTCATGATCATGGGGCCTACCTGAGACTTCCCCAGCACGTTTTTAACATTTCCTGTTACTTGCCAAGTGACCATACTGTGCTCCACACAATGCTTATTCCCCACTCCAAACAGATGCTGCAAGACCCAGCAAAACTTAGAAAATTTCTGGTGAAGCAGACTTTCATTGTAATTAAAGTAGTCCCCTTTTCACTGCCCAGTTTGAACACAGACCAGTTTCTTCTGTCAGCTGGGATGATGTGGGTCTGAAGCTAAGCAAACTGGCTTTTGTTTGTTTGTTTGATTTTTAATAGCTGAAACCATAAAAGCTGACGTTTTCTTTAAAATTTGTTAGGTGAATTACTAGTTACTGCACTTTGATTTTACAGATACTACACTTGAATGGAGATAAGAAAATAAACAGAACCAGAGTGAAATGTCTTTGGCATAGCTCAGGATACACAGAGACAGACATCCCTAGGGAAGGAGAGTTGCAAAGAGGCATCAAAATGGAGTTCACTGAACTGGCGTTTAAAGCTTTTGGGAAGTGTCTTTTTTTAGCAAGCCTTTAAAGTCAATTATCCTCAGAGAATGTGCTTCATGTTTGTCTTGAGAATAAAGATAGTGAGATTTCATAATGTATCTGGCTCATAACTCTGAGTGTGCAGGTCCCCTGGCCCTGTGCTAGACAAGAGGCGGCAGATCCCTCTCTGTGGACAGGAGAGTGGGAAAAGCGCCTTCCCCTCGGTGCTGGCTGCAAGCTGGAGAAAGGGCAGCGAGGCATTCCTCCTTGAAAGTGAGAGACACTGTATTCCCCAACTGTCAGACACAATTCATTATGGAAAAAAACAAAACAAAGCCACGCTAAAGTACAGCAGAGAAAATCCTGGAAAATAGGTTAGACAGTACTAAGCATAGTAAAGCATAACTTTTCCCCACAGAGAAGGCTTGTGTTAGATCCAAAGCTCCAGAAATGGAGGGAAAATAAACAGAGCTTTTGAAATTAACCTGGCAAAATGGAGTTGGCTCCCACCTGTCACAGGGCTGCACAGTGGAGATCGTCCTCATGCAGACAGTTGGCTCTTTCTCCAAAACAGCTCTTTCATTCTCTTTTGAAGATCATCCTCTGCTGAGTATGTCTGTCCAGCATGGGAGACTTGCAGTGCTTTTGAGATAGAAAAGACAGGAATTTTAGAACTAGTACAGCAACATCAGTTCCTAGACAAGTAAAATCTGCCTGTAGAAGGAGAGAGAAAGCCCCCACCTACTCACAATTCAGCTGCCGTGCTCTTCAGCAAGGGCAGATGTTTGGAAAATGGGAGAGAACAGGAAAGATCCTGGTCCTGCCAACACTAGTCTGGTTTCTGGCATGCTTAAACTTTCACACATGTCTTTCTTTACAGTAATGGGACTTAAATTAACTCCTATTAAAATTAACTCCTTTGTATTACTTTTGGAGTGTTTCTTATACAGTGGTGACCAGGAGCTAAATCTTGGCATTAAATCAAGGTTTGCAGAACCATTATGTACAAGAACTCCAGCAGATGTTGTAGTGGTCCTTGGTGGACAATCCCTGGAGATGTCAAGTCAGTCCATTTCATACCTGTTCATCTCATAGCAGTTAAATAATTCCCTTCAGCATCTTCAAGTGAATTCTGGCAGCACGAGCTCTTTGTCGACACAGTAATTCTGGATCTATTTGTTCTTTGCTGGAGCTACACATGGCCATGTAAACTGTGTATGAGTTGCCACCATCTTTGCCCATTTTGCACAGATGCATGGGACTGTACAAAACATGAGGTAAATTCAGGTGGTTGTGTGGGAGGCAGCCAAAATGGTCCCCATTTATGAGCCTACAAAGGGCAGGACTCCCCGCTCAGCGTGGACACAGGCACGTAACAGACCCGTGCCCACCACAGGAAAGCACCTCGGGAGAATTACTCCTAACAGGAAAAGGCTTGTGGACAGCAGAGTGTGAGCTTCTCTGCTGTACTTACACACAACACAGCCCCATTTCTTCTAGGTATCACATTGTGAAAAAATGTTAAATTTTCATTTACTGCTAGGCCTGAGAAGGAAATCTCTTCTTTACACAAAAGAGGACCTCGATCTTATTTTGGGCTTTTGTGGAATCTTATTTTGGGCCTGATGCTCAAACCTAGCAATAACAGGCTTATACTTGAAAGACTTCACACCAAAAGGCACAGAAAAAAAAAAGAAAAAATGTTTGATTGATGGAGAGATATGGGAGCATAAACATAATTTTTGAAGCCCATGGACTATTTTGACCACAGAATTGCAACCTGGGAGTCTGGCTCAATAGTTTAATCTCTGTGCCAGTTTAATCCTGTTCTGCCCTAAAACACCTGGTGTGATTTCAGGGTGGCACTGGTGGCCCTCAGGTGCCAGCCTGTCATGGTATTGCAGATTTTGCTGAAGAGAAGTGACTCTTTTCTTTTTTTCTTTTTTTTTTTTGTCACATGATGCCCACACAGCTGTAAATAAACATGATTAAAAGTACATGTCTGGGAACTAAATCCATGAGGAGCTAAATAACAAACTTGTCTTCCAGCTGCTGGTTTAGACTGAAAGCAACACTAAAATGATGCGTATTTTTTACAATTTATTGTAATGGTCTGTAATCCTGCATCCTGATGTACATCTGTTGAACTTTATTCTGAGGTGTAGGGCCATCAGTTTCAATCTGGGACAATATATAGGCATTGGCCAGAATGATTTTATGGCTTGGATCTCCATGGGTTAGGATCTGACCAGGCAGATGTGACAGAGTCCAACAAAAGATTTCAACAGAAGCAACCCTGGCTGCGTTGATACAGTTGCTATTAAATGGAAATTGCCACAAAACTAGAAAATGTCACCAAGGACATTCACCCTTGTCTTCCTGTGCCAGTTTTCCTGCATACTGATGTAGTTTTCTTGCAAAAAAGCATAGCAGTTAGGATTTAAAATTGATTACTTTTCTGTTTACTTCTGATTAAAATTTTTACTTGTGGGGTTTTTTACTTCCTTATTTTTTTAAACGACCTTCAGAAATTTTCAATTATCATTAAAAAAACATTTTTAATAAGAGGCAGGAACAAGAAAGCTTAGGTTTTTTTGGTTCTAATGAGAGGTTCCTTAAGGGGAAGATCACCATCATTGTCATAGCCATTAATGTTCTGATTTTGGAGCAGTGGAGACGTAAGCAAATATTTATTTTTGAAAGGCCTTTGCTTCGGCTGATGACAAAATGCTCATCTCCTAAATTTAGCAATGCTGTGTCTCCATGTGTATATTTATATTATTAGTCACCTTTAAGCCCACATTTTCTGTGATCAGCACAGGCTAGGGAGTCACTGCATCCTTGTGTCGGAGAGGGTACCTGCATGTCCGCGTCCCTGCCAAGTGGGCTGAGTGTCCCAGTTGTGAACTCCAGCGGGAACAGACTGGAACTGGAACGGCTGGGAAAAGAGGGGCAGCAGGGGTGCGGCTTGAGCAGGCTCTGTTACCATAACCCTCGCGGGAAGAGAAACAATAACCATGCAATATCCAGAGCTGGAAGGCACCCACATGGGTTATCAAGTCCAACTCCTAATAATGACTTTAATAATGGTCATCTTGTATCATAGTCCCTCAATTTAGGTATTTACCTGTCCACTATCTCAGGCTGTGAAGCTCCTCTGGATTTTTTTATTAAAAGCCACGATCCCAAGGAGCAGAAATACGGCTTGTACCTGTAGTTTAGAGAAAGCAGTTGTGGTAAGCTGCACAATTTAAATTTTGGGAAAATGTTTCCACAGAAAGGTTGTGGGACTAATGGCAGCCGGGCCGCACTTACGTCTAGGGGACACACGGGAAGCCTGAGGGCAAGCGATGGCCCGGCCTACCGCCGCCCGTGCCGGCGTCTGGCTTCCTCGGGGCCATGTGAGCACGGCGGCACTTGTTATTTTGTTTCGAGGCGCGGCGGAGGG